AAACATCAATTGACTGCTTCCTGCATGCCCACTACTGGGGATCAGCCTGCAACTCAGGCATCTGCTCTGAGCAGGAATCAAACCAGTGACCTCTTGGTGCGTGGGGCAATGCTCAACCAAATGAGCCACACCAGCCGGGCTATATGTTCTTGTATGAGCTCTTCATTTGCCCCATTCCTTCTGTTGTTCAGACTGAAATCAAAGGCCATTGCCTAAGAACTCTTCCCCTGATTAGTTTCTACCTCAGTGCCATTTTGTGTTCTTTGTAGCACTCTTCACTCCCTGAGATGGTTTTGTATCTTTGTTTACTATGTGATTCTGTTTCCTGATTATCTCTTTCACAAAGAATATAAGCCTCGTGGACAGAAATGTGTCTGTCCCATTCACCACCATAACCTCAGCATGTTATATGGCACATAGAGCAGGTGCTCACTAACTATATGTTGGTGAAAGAACAAATGAGCACGAGCTGAAGAAGTAGCCTAACCTGGCCAGTGGATGGAGTATCACCCCATGGACTGAAAGGTCCTGGTTAGATTCCTGGTCAGGGCACATACCCAGGTTGCTGGCTCCATCCCCAGTAGGGGGCGTGTAGGAGGCAACGGATGGATGTTTCTCTCTCACATCGATGTTTCTATCTTTCTCTCTCCCTCTTCCTTCCTTTCTCTCTAAAATATCAATAAAAACATATTTTTTAAAAAAAGAAGAAGAAGAAGTAGCTCTAGAGCTAATGGGTGGGCAATTCCTAGAGCAGTTTTTTTTGTTTTTTTTTTTAATCCTCACCCGAGGGTATTTTTCCATTTTTTTTGTACAGATAGAATGGGAGGGAGAGAGAGGAAGGGAGAGAGAGAGAGAAACATCGACGTGAAGGGACACATCGAGTGGCTGCCACCCGCACGACCAACCAGGGCCGGGGACAAACTGCAACCGAAGTACATGCCCTTAGCGGGAACCGAACCTGGGTCTCTCCAGACCGCAGGCCGACACTCTAACCGCTGAGCCAAACTGGCCAGGGCTAGAGCAGATTTTTAAAGCTGCAGTCAGCAGGCTCAGAGCCTCGCCATGGCGACGACTGTCACTTAGCAGAGAACCAGCGGGCCAGTGAGAACGTGGGCTTTGGAATCAGACAGACTAGGGTTTGAGTCTTGGCTCTGCCGCTTCCTGGCTGACCACAGGCCTTGGACCTTTAACCTTCAAAACTCTTGGTTTCCTCATCTGTAAAGACAGGTGTATGTGTATAAGCCACCTCACGGGGTTCTGGGTTGAATAAAGCAAGTGCTGGACATGTAGCCCGTGCCATATAGGGGTTAACACCACAGCTTGGTGGGTTAGTTTCTGCTGCTACAGAGATTACAGCTTCTGCCCTCCGCACCAGCTTGCCAAGGCGCTGGGGTCTAACCTGAGGAAGGGCTGCTACAATCCCTGCCCTGAGCAACCACTTGGCAATTTTCCCCGTCACACTCACTGACTGTGGAAAAATAAGCAGAAGTGCCCTGATACAGGGAGTGGGTGCAGGGGCGGTGAGTGATCATTCTGACTGTTACTTCTCAACTTCCGGCCTCTGACAAAAACCAGAACTGACCTCCTGGAGTTGGAGCCCATGAGGAAATGGGTGGTCGCTGTTTCTTCACAGGACTTAGAACTGTTACAAAATTGGTATTTTCGCACACACTACTCGAATCTGCACTATTGTGTGAACTGGAGTGTGTTTGTGATGAGAAAGGAGGAGCAACCATGCAGCCAGCAAGGAGTAGCTGTGCAATGGGGGCGGGTGGAGGCGGGAGGGAGAAATCCCATGCGTGGAGGTGCCCGCCTTCCTCTGGTCCCGCACCTTCCTTAATCTCTGGCTAATACCCAGGTGATGGTTTATGCATCTTGACTCTGAAAAGAGCTAATCATAGTCATTGCATATGACACAGGGGACATAAATGCACAGGTAAATACAGGTGGAGGCCATCCATTCCCATGTCCCTTCAGCCCCTGTTTGATGGCAAGGGAACTTGTTTTCTTCTGTTCAGATGAAAATAACAGTTGACACTATCCATATAATGAAGAAAACACTTAAACAGTTTACTGCAGGCTGGGCACTGTTCTTAAACACTTCTCCTGCATTGCTTGTTCCTATAAGGTAGCTGCAATCTTTGCCTCCGATTCACAGATGAGTGAACTGCTGCTCAGCGAGGTCAGTAACTTGCCCACGTTTACACAGCCTAGTAAGGGGCAAGGCCAGCACTCTGCCCCAGGCCTCCTAGCTCTAGGGTCTGCATACTTGACCACTAGGCAGCATGGTCTGTTCCTAAGGGGATGGCTTGCCTTGGAGGTGGTGGGATCCCCAGCCCTATGGGCAGCAAACATCCATCACTGAGTTGGACAGAGGTCTCTTCCAGGTGTTTAGTGTGTCCTCTGTGTCCACTCGGAGCTGAGCACTCTGCCAGCATCATCTCACGTCATGTTCTTGCCACCCCTGCCACTTAGAACAGTCCCCCCATTTTACAGATGAACAAGCTGAGATTAGAGAGATTGTGTCATGGACAAGGTCTCTAGGCTGGTGAAGGCTGGAGCTGAGAATCCAGCAGGACTGCCCAACCCCAACCCTGAGCTCGTCATTCTTACCAGGGATGGTTTCCAAGGGATTAAACTTCAGGAGAGCTGAGCTGGACTGGCCGACTGTGATGGTTCTGGCTGATCTGAGATCCCGAGGGACTAAATGACTGACACATAAAGAAGCAAACTGTTTTCTTTCCTTTTTAAACTTATCTTTATTGTTGAATGTATTACAGATATTTCTTTTTTCCACATAAGAGGCAAACTCTTGAACAGAGTTGCTATAACTAGTTCTTAGGCCAAAACTATTAGTCATCACATTTCAGGTTTCATATTTAAGGAAATATTTCTCTTCCAGGCTCCCCCCACAACACTCTGCAGTGATTCTCCTGAAAAGCTGTCCATGGAACAAAGAGTTATGTGGACCCTTAAAGTCTCCAGTCTCTCTGTGGTGGTATATATGCCCTCCTGGGCTACAAAGAGACAGTAACCATCTTTCCTGGTGGTACCATCATCTGCCCTCATCCAGGGTCCCCATCTGACAGCCCAATCCAGCATCAGCACACCAACCAAATTCCCACCACCAAACCCAGAGGTCAGTTTTCAGGTCTGTCTCACTGGCCTCGTCTCAGCATCTGGCACAACGGGCAGGCCTGCTCCTTGATTCACATTCTTCTCTTGGCTCCTCAATGCCACACCTCTTGGCTTTCAGCCGACCCCTCTCTTCCTTGGCAGTTTATCCCTTCCAGTCTCATGGCTCCAACCACCACTCATCAGTGAGGTTTTCCGATTGTTATCTCCAGTGTGGACTTCTCTGAATTCCCGACTCACAAGTCTGACTGTCTACTTGACATTCCCGTGGAGGTCTAATAGGCATTTCAAATTTAGTGCATCCTATCATTAATTCTTAATCTTCAATCCTGCCCCTAATGTAACCCCTCCTCGTCTTCCCAGTTGAGGGCCACTCCACCTTTCCAGGTACTCAGGTTCCAACCCTTAGCATCATCCCAAACTGCCCTTCTCACATCTCATCTGTCAACAAACCTGTGAGCTCTCCCTTCAGGCCAGAAGCCAGTTCTCAGTAGTCTCCCTACTGCCTCCCTGGGTTACTCCCTCTCGGCAACCTCAAGAGCATCTGCCTTTGCTCTTTGTCTAAATCATTTAATACGGTAGCCGGAGTATGAAGACAGAGGCAGATCATGCCTCTCTTCTATTGCAAACTCTCGCGTGGTTTCCTCCCAGTGGAACTCAAACTTTGCTGGGTCCTTCGGGCCCGGGCCTCCCCTCCCACCACCCCAGGGACTTACCACTTTACTCAACCCCTGGCTAGCTCTGCTCCAGCTCCACTGGTGTCCCCGCCATTCCTCAGACAGGCCACACACACACTCTCCTCGGGTCCTGTGCACCTCACAGCTTTTCTCTTCCCCTCTCCATGGGTTCCTGCCTCACATCTTCCAGCTCTTGGCTCAAATGTCACCTTCTCAGTGAAGTGTTCCCTGACTCCTCTATATACCCCCCACCCACGTTCCCTATTTCATTTTTCTCTGTAGCCTGTGTGGTTCATCTAACATACTCCTCTATTATTCATTTAATTTTTATTCTCTCTCACTTATAACGTAAGGTCAATAAAGGCAGACATTTTATCAGTTTTGTTCAGGCTCTATCTCCAGTGCCAGTGCCTGGGACGTAGTAGATGCTCAATAAATGTTGTTCCATGAATCAGTATATGAGCAGCCTAAGGACAGCAGCATTGTGGCTACAGAGCTGTGGTCAGTCAGGGTGTGGGCTACCAAGACTGGAGTTTTAGTATAGTATTCTAGAGACACTTCCCTGTGCCTGCCACTGTTTTCTCTGCAAAATGCAGATAGTGGAAACTAAGGTCCCCCAAAGCTCCGGAAGTACAGGAATCTGGAGCAGAAGAGGGCTGAGCAGGGGCCATCACTAGGGTGAAGGGCAGGGGAATCCTCTTCTCCAGAGGCTGGCCAGAAGAGCCAGCAGACAGACCAATCAGGGGTGGACAGAGGGCGGGGAGCAGAGGGCGGGGAGCAGAGGGCGGGGAGCAGAGGGCGGGGAGCAGAGGGCGGGGAGCAGAGGGCGGGGAGCAGTGGGCGGGGAGCAGAGGGCGGGAGCAGCGGGGAGGCGGGGACCTTGGGAGCGAGCCTCCGCAGTCCGACCCCTGAATCACCAGCTGCGCTGCACTGAGCGCCTTATGTAACCTTCTGAACTTCCGTTTTGTGTTGGGGGGAATCACAACTGCACCTCTCTGGCAGGTCCTTGCAGGGACTGAAGGCGACAATGCAGGTGGCTCAGTGGCCGTCCTCAGACTGCGGGGAATCTGGCGGGCAACAGAGGAATCTGGTGGCCAAGCGGGCGGGAGCAGGTGGGGACAGAGAAGCAGGTGGGGGAAGGGAAATGCAACAAGGATCTGGACGTCTAGGAGGATGCAGCTGGCGCGGCACCAGTTGGGGCGGGGCCGGCGCGGAGGTGTTTCCTGGGTGGGGACGGTGACCCGGTGCCTATAGGTGTCCCTGGGACTCACCGGGCATCTATCTAGGGCCAGTTACGCTCTGAGCGGTGCAGACACAGCTGCCCAGGTCCGACCTTCCAGCGCGACCCCGCCACGTTCCTCCCGCCACCAGCCACCCTGCGCACAGCAGCCCGGCCCCAGCATGACAGACAAGGCGGCCTTCGACACGAATATTGTCACCCTGACCCGCTTCGTCATGGAAGAGGGCAGGAAGGCCCGCGGCACGGGCGAGATGACCCAGCTGCTCAACTCGCTCTGCACCGCGGTCAAAGCCATCTCCACGGCGGTGCGAAAGGCGGGCATCGCCAACCTGTGAGTCAGGCCTCAGGCCCCCAGGCCACCTTCTGTCTGTCTGTCCTGCTGGGGATGTGCCTGACCGTCTGATGTCTGGTCCCCTGGCTCCCCTGCTGTCAGCCTGTGGGTCCACCAGGCTCCTTCTGTCTCTCCTTCGCTCCCTCCCTCTCCCTCTCCTCCCTCTCCCCCTCCAGAGGTTGGCACTCAAGCCCTGGTTCCCCTTCTCTGGAGCTTGGAGGTGCGCACCTGGGGGCCTGTCACCCCATCCACACCTGCCTCCACCCTGCAGCCCTGTCAAGGGGCTGAGCAGCCTGACTTGGTTGGCATTCCTGTCAGCTTCCTCCAGGTGAAATTGGCTGGCAGGTGGACGGACACCTGGCCTGCTGGCAGTACCCATCCGAGCCTCAGACAGGAACGTGCTGGCATGGCACCTTGTTTTCCCTTTCTCTTCTCTGACCTCCTTCACTTCCTATGGAACTGGGGTCTCGAGCTGGGTTTCTAACCCTGTATCTCCTTGAGCCTAAACAAGCCCTGTTAGGAGCCAGGGAAGCCCCGGGCAGGAAGCCTGCACACCTGGAGCTCTCAGGAACAGCAATGCTGTGTGCAAAGGGTGCAGTGGGTCCCAGCAAGGCCTGAGACTCTGAATTTTTAAGAAGTTCTTCGGTGGTGCCCATGTTGCTGGTCTGCAGATCACCTGTGTGTAGCGAGAGAATCACAGGAGGTGGGGATTCAAAGGGCACCTTCTTGTGAAGCTTCTGTAACTAACACAAATACTCTTTGGTCTACTCTGGTGTACACGAGTATTGCATATTTGTCTGGTCCTCACTTAGCTGAAGGGTTTTCAGATTGCCCCATTCCTTTCTAATATCTCACACACTCAGGGATGCTATAAAAATTGTGCACGATGTCTGTAGCTGATCTGAGAAAGTGTAACCCCTGCAACCGGGCTTCCTTTCTGGAGAACTCTTTGGCTCTGGCCCCCGAGCATGGATTGCTGACTCTCACGAAAGGAATGTATGGTCACTCATCTTCAGATGTCAAGCAGGGATGAGCCTGGCCCAGAGAGAGACTGGTACACTAGGAAGGGTGGGACCATGACTATTCACCTAATGACCCCTCTTAATAATACATTTCTAAGGAGGCTATGCTTTAGGAAACACACCAGTTAAAATCTTACTTCAAATTTAATTCACAGCAAGGAGAGTAGCCCCGCAGCCTCACCTGTCTTTGAGAACTAGGGGCCTTTTAAAAAAAAAGTACTTGTCATCTCCTGTATTGTTTTAAAAGTGTGTTCGTACTTTTCACACACCCAAAGAGACTTGGAAATGCAAGATCGGCTTTCAGGTGTATATTTCCCACCTTTTAAGAAACCTCAGATAGTGGGACCTGGACAGAGGGTACTAATTTCAGCCGTGTGAAATATGTATGTCTGTTTAGACTAAATAGTGGTGATTACCAGGTTTAAAAAATGTTGTTGTTATCATTATAAACTACTTAATAAGATGCACTCATTGACAAACATTGAAACCACTCAAAAGAACACAAAGGGAAAGGTGAAACCCACCACTATCCATTCTCTAGGGTGTCCTCCATTAATAATTAACTGGTTATTTTCTCAGATACTTATTTATATTCATATAAGTTTATACATGGATATATATTTACATATGTCCATATGTAATTAGCAAACAAAATAGAATCACAGTTAACATATTCTTCTGCAGTTTACTTTTACCATTCAACAGTATATAATGACCATCCTTCAATGGCAGGAGGTATAAATCCACCTCCTTCGTTTTAACTGTTGCCATTGAATGGATATATGGTGAGCTGTTTTACTCTTCCCTATGTTAGCACATTTCACTAGTCTTTGACTGTTTCAAACAGCGCTGTATTTGTGGAACAAGGGTTGATGCCTGGTCATGTGGGGAGTTGACAGAGAGGACCAGAACTGAGACCCTTAAACACTCCTGTGGGAGAGCAAAGTTTGCTTTCTCAGCATGACACATGGTTGGTAAGGCACCAACAAGACAAGATCTCAAGTCAGGGCTCCAAATTACATTCATTATTGACTTTGATGTCTTGGATGAAAAAGCCAACGTGCCTGCAAATAGCTTGTTAGTGCTGAAGACTTGCCCTGGAAGGGCATGTACCCAGAATGACAAGGTAATTGCTGGTCAAATGACCTCACAGGACCAGTTTCTAGAGCTCAGCCATGATGTCTCATTAAGGAGACTTCAGGAGTTTCCAGCAAAGCGCCCAGCTAGAGTTCTCTCTCTCTCTCTCTCTCTCTCTCTCTCTCTCTCTCTCTCGTCAACCAGCAGTTGCTCTTCAGCCACTTTTCTTGATCTTAATAAGATATTCATAGAATCATTAACTGTTTGTTTTGTTAATCCTTACCCAAGGATATTTTTTTATTGTTTAGAGAGAGTGGAAAGGAGGGAGGGAGAGGGAGAGAGAGAGAAACATCGATGTGTTTACACATCGATTGGTTGCCTCCTGTAGGACTCCAACTGGGGCTAGGAGGTTGAATCTGCAACCCAGGTATGTGCCCTTGACCAGGAATCAAACCCTTCAGTCTGTGGGCTGATGCTCTAACTGCCGGGCCAAACTGGCCAGGGCATAGAATCATTAAGTTTTAAGCTGAAAGCCTCAGAAGTCACCTGGTCCCACCCTTCCTTGCACAGACAAGGACCCCAAGGCCAGGAAAGACCAAGTTAACTGGTCTGTGGCCCAGGTTGGTCTCTTTTCATCAAACCACACATTTCTTTCTTTATTTTTTAGAAATCAGTTAAAGCTGACCCAACTCTAAATCTCATCTATTAATAACATCTTTCATGAGAACTAAGTAAGATCTGTATCATGAGGAGACATTGCCTTAGCGCCAGCCTGCCTTTGAAGCCTGTTTTCTGTGTGAGGCTCCTCCACCCACTGTCAGCTGAGATGAGGGGCAGCCACCTTCTGTTCTCTCGTGAGACCAGTCAGCAGCCGGCATCAGGCAGATCTGAGTTCATGGTTCAAATTCTAGTGTTGCCACTTCTCTGTTTCTATTCCTTTGGGAGAAAGTGGTCCTGCATTGGCTTAGACTTTTGCTTTAGGCATGTTCCGCTGACTTCCCTTTATACATGTTCCCAAATCATTGTTTGAAGAATTCACTGGTTCTCTTCCATTCAACCAAGTGCTATCAAACACCCACAATGTACAAAGTTCTAGAAGAGCCCAAGAGGCGAGAATGACACAGCGCTTATGCTGTAGGAAAAGTACAAGTATGGAATTAGTTCTAAAACATAATAAAGATTCTGAAAGATGTCTTCATAGAGGTTCCAGAAATACAATGTGGGTGCAAAGAACAGTGAAGCATCAAGATGAGCATCTCCATGGGCAGGAACAGGTGGTCACAAGGCCTGAGGGTTGGAGAGCATTTTAGGCTGGGCTATCGTGTGATAAAAGGTACCAGATGAGAAAACGTTTCTGGAAAAGCTGCTCACTCAGTTTGACTGAGGCAAGCTGTACATGGGGCGGGCTGTTTGTGGACGTTGCATTGTGGGTGCATTGGGGAGCGTCAGATGGCACGGGTGAATACTTTATATTTTGCAGGTATGCAAAGGGGAGAGAGTGAAGGTCTTTGAGCAGGGCAGTGACATGATTAGAGACTAATCGGGGGAAGATGTGGCTGGAAGTCAGAGTTGGAAGGGGAAAGCTAAGACATGGGGAAAAGCAATTGAAAAGGGGAGGGGCAAGAAAAGCTGTTCCAGCCCTAGAGCTTTAGCAAGAGGAGGGGCCTTGGGGGGAGTCTGAGTGTGGATCCGGTGAGAAGGGCAGTTTCTCAAAGGGTGGGTCCTAGCAAGTGACAGCAGGGCCTGCCAATAAAAGCAAAACTACATGAAAACAGAATTCCAAAGGGGGAGTAGATTTTTTTGAGGCTGGGGAAGGTTGAGAAGATGATTCCAACATTTTGGAAACGTTGAACTTGAGGTGTCAGAGGGCTACCCAGTTGGAGATGTAGTCCAGCCAACAGTGGGACGTGCTGGTCTGGAATTTGGGTGTGAAACACTGACTAAAGATTTGGCCACTGGATTTTGGTCCACTCTGCCCTGAGGCAGAGAGGAAGAGGAGAAAATCAGGACCAGATGGAGCAGAACAGGAACATGCAGGGCTTAAGAACACATCTCAGAGACAGATGGAGCTGGCCTCAAATTCCTGGCTCTGCCATTTAATTTTTGTGAGGATTTGGGCAATTGCTGAAACATCTCTGAGACTCGGTTTCCTCACTTGTAAGATGGAGACAATGGTCTTTTTCAATCTCAGAGAGTTGTGTGAGAATGAACTGAGTTCATTAAATGGGTGCTACTATCATCATTGTTTTTCTAGGCTGCAGATTATTATTATTTTTTAAATAAACAGGTATCTTTTTATTTTGCTTTTCATTCCTTAGTAGTTTCCCGCACACATATCAACAGACATGTATTTCAGGCTAGACCATTAAATGTTAAAACAATGTTGTGCCCTCAGATGGGTTGCAGGAAACCTCTTCCCATCATGGTCAGGTGGTGTCCAGAACAGTTGCTTTTTTTTTAAATCCTCACCCGAGGACATTTTTCAATATTTTGTTCGGATAGAGTGTTATAAATTGATTTCAAGTGGGAGGGAAAGAGAGAGAGAGAGAAACATCAACATGAAAGGGACACATCGAGTGGCTGCCACCCTCATGACCAACCAGGGCCGGGGACAAACTGCAACTGAGGTACATGCCCTTAGTGGGAACCAAACCCAGGTCTCTCTGGACCGCAGGCCGATGCTCTAACCGCTGAGCCAAACTGGCCAGGGCCAGAACAATTGCTTCTATATATAGGGTCCTCTCAGTATCAATGGAAGAAAATAATAAATAACTTCTGTTTTAATTTTGGAATTACAGGTCAGTTAATACATGCTTCCATTTATCTTCAAATCTGCAGAGTGTATGACATTAAACTTTTGGGACCTTTATCAGATTTATTTCAGATTTCTTGAATTAGCTT